ACAAACTGAAAATACCCGGTAGGTTGGTTGTTGGGAATTCATAGTCGCCCCCAACAGTGCCCAATTCCTGCGAAATGTTTGCGGGGGACAAATCTGTTGTTTGCCTTTTTTTTTTGCCCCTTTTTTTAGGCCCCCAGTGGGGCCTCGGGTTTTTTCGGAAAGGTTTTCCCCCCCCCCCCCCCCCCCCCCACAAGTTTGATTTTACTTCTAGTAGCCAGTTTAAGGTGTTAATGATAGCGAAGTGAGAGAGCAGGGAAAAACTCTACGATCTGAACGCCGGAATAGGCCAAGGCTAATTTCTGGGCGTCTAGCTGACTATGCAGAAGCTGTTCTAATCGGGAATTCCTTATTCGCCTTCATTTTGATAGACAAAAGTGTTTTACTGGAAAATAGACCACTCGTAAAGTTCATACGAAACTACGTCCGGGACTCGAGTAACGTATTTTCTATATCCTCAATAGTGAGGATATCGATGACTTTATTTTCCGCTCAAACTGTTATTTGTACACAATTTGCAAAATGCTAAGTGAAAAACTGATGGCGAGCGTCAGATTCCCGACTTTATCTAAAACTGACATAAAGTCTTTCTCTGAGGAGCAGGAGAATGTTTTAACATACATATTAAAATACGAAAAAGAAGTGAATTTTGTATGACGTAAAATTTTTCAAGGCATTCCTTCGAGTGAAGACGAAAAGAGACAACTTCAAGAAATTTCTGCCGCCGAACTACAGCAGTTGGCGATGTGTGCTGGGACTATGAGAAAGAAAAATGGCAAAAACTCTTGTCTACATAATAAAAAGAAAATTACAAGCTGCCTTGAAGATAGAAATTTATTTTCTCGTGATGAAAAACAATATTTCACTCACTCAAGTAAACCATTTGACACCATGCCGCACAACTTACTTGTATCTAAACTACGCCTCAGTACTTAAAACACCAGTGCCGTAGCAAGGTTAGATTTATTGGCGGGGGGAGGAGGCAATCAGGAGCGCAGAAGACACGAGCTGCTAGGGGGGTCCGGATCCGGGGGTATGCTCCCCCGGAGATTTTGAACTATAGGGTCTTTGAAATAGCATTTTCAGCCTTCTGAGAGCAATAATTTCCAGGTCTCACCTATTTAAGTGCTTGATTTTTCTTTGTTGAAGCCCTAAATAAACAATTTTCACGCTTTATATATTGAACCGAAATGAACACATTGAATCGAAGAGCAGCGTGAAGAGCGTGGCCGCTGACCAAATCAAACCTGCCTCTCAAATCATTTTCAATGAGTTAAGGATCGTTAACGCGGCTTGGGGATAGAAACTCTCCTGGCAAGAAGTTGGTGCGGGAGTGATCCAGGGATCGATACTCCGGCCCGTCGGTATATTATTCAATATGTCTATGAATGATCTAGTTAATGTAATAAAGAACTGCGACTTATCCACTTACGATAACGACACTCAGATTTTCGCTGCTGAGACAGAACCAGGCAAACTGCAGGAAATGGGCGATATAGTAGCCGCTGTTGATCGATGGTATGACGCAAACGGGATTAAACGGAACCATTCAAAATATCAACGGTTTATGATTATTCCAACTTACAAACTCCGAAACCAAAGTTCCTTTGTGATAATACAACGATACCAGTTAGTGAAGACCTCACTCTCCTTGGTGTCACCATTCACAACTAGCTGAAATTCGATAAACAGATCGCCAACGTGAAAGNTGAGAGCAATAATTTCCAGGTCTCACCTATTTAAGTGCTTGATTTTTCTTTGTTGAAGCCCTAAATAAACAATTTTCACGCTTTATATATTGAACCGAAATGAACACATTGAATCGAAGAGCAGCGTGAAGAGCGTGGCCGCTGACCAAATCAAACCTGCCTCTCAAATCATTTTCAATGAGTTAAGGATCGTTAACGCGGCTTGGGGATAGAAACTCTCCTGGCAAGAAGTTGGTGCGGGAGTGATCCAGGGATCGATACTCCGGCCCGTCGGTATATTATTCAATATGTCTATGAATGATCTAGTTAATGTAATAAAGAACTGCGACTTATCCACTTACGATAACGACACTCAGATTTTCGCTGCTGAGACAGAACCAGGCAAACTGCAGGAAATGGGCGATATAGTAGCCGCTGTTGATCGATGGTATGACGCAAACGGGATTAAACGGAACCATTCAAAATATCAACGGTTTATGATTATTCCAACTTACAAACTCCGAAACCAAAGTTCCTTTGTGATAATACAACGATACCAGTTAGTGAAGACCTCACTCTCCTTGGTGTCACCATTCACAACTAGCTGAAATTCGATAAACAGATCGCCAACGTGAAAGAAACGTAACCCAACAGCTTTCAGTACTGAAACGCTTGAGAAACATTCTACCTATTGAGTTAAAACACTTATCAATCATTTATTGCCCCCCATTTTGATTAATGTTCTGATATTTGGTATTTCTGTAGTAAAACCGCATCCAATAAAATGGAAAAAGTTAACGAAAGAGCTCTTCGCTTCGTGCTCAAAGACAAAAGCAGTTCTTACACAGAATTACTTAAGAAATTAACTAGGAACTGCCTCATCAAAGAATCATGAAGAATGCTAGCTCTGTCTTCAGCTGTGTCTTCATAGTGCTAAACATTGGCACTCGGGTCAACCCTAAAGGAATTAATTTAATATGAAGAGCTTCAACCTATAATCTTCGTGGTAAGATATTCTAATAATACCGAAGGTCAACTCTACAAAGCAAGCTAGGTTTGAGATCTTTGCGATACCCGGCCCTTAGATATGGAATGCACTACCGGAAGCATGGAGACATGAGACCAATCTATTAAGTAGCTTTGAAAGACGTTTGAAAAAATTGACGTCACACAGTTTTACGGATCTGTACTTAGTTTTTATTTATATTTTCATTAAATTGCACATAGTTTTATTTTATTTTATTACTAACATATTCTCAGATTTTTAAATTGCAGATAGATATTTTATATCGTATCTTTAAGTGTTTTTGTTTTCCTTTTGTTTTCGTAAGCTAAGTGTAATAGACCACCTTAATAAATGGCTTACTTACTTACTGCGTTCTTTCGTAATAAAATATTGTTTTCACCACTCGAAAATAAAAATTCATATCTTCGCGCCACCATGTACTATCCTCTGTATATATTACCGCGCTTCTGAGCTAAAAGGAATATACAGTGGCTTCCAGCTTCTGATTGGTGTTCCAGCGGAGCTCAAGCAACCACAAAGACCAAAAAAGCGGGGAAACGAGGCAAAAAAGCCAGCAGGCTTAAAATAACAACTTTGCAAGTGTATCAAGCTTTTTTTAGAACAATTTCTTTGCCTTCGAATACAAGACAACGACTTTCTTTTTATTTAATTTCTGAGCTTAGATACAGTCCTTAGAATTCAAATCCAGAAAATTTGTTGACAAATTGAATGTGATGGAATAAGAGCGATGACGCCAGTCTCGCCGTGGCTTTCGTGGTTGCCTATGCCATTAGACGGCATTTGGTCTGTCGGAAAATTTAGAACAGTTAGTATATCCGTTAAGTTTTTCTTTTTTTAAAACAAAAAACAAAAAAAAACAAGTGTTTGCGACAGTGGACTCGTGAAAGTGTGACGCCAGTCGTTGTGTTGAAATGAAAAGAATCGTCCGCACAATCTTCCACCAGCTGCTTCCATTAGAAAAACAAAGAAAATAAAAAGGAAACCACAGACTGGGGAAATTTTGTTTAATCTTTTCTGTCGTATTCCTAGTTTGAGCAAATACTAGCTACCCGAGCTATGATGTTTATATATTGATTTAGGTGAAGTTTTAACGCTCGTAAATATTATATTATCATATGGTGCAAAATCACACGTCAATAAAAAAAGAAAGTGCCACAATTTGTGGCACTTTCTTTTTTTGTGGCCCACAAAACAAAGCCATTAACGAAACCAAAACAATTCGCATAATTATCATTCGCTCAACTAGGCACCTGAAAATATTATTTTTCTGGGACTGTTCAAAGAAGTGATTATTGACAAGTAAATAAGAATAAGCTAGTTCAAGGCGACAGGTAAAAAAGTTTGGATGTCTTTCTGGCCGTTCAGATTTGGCTGTGGATTGCAGTCAGACCAGTGAATTGTTTTTTCGCCGCTCGCCGCCGGCAATGGCAAAATGCAGTCATGCGTTTTGAGTGTTGCAGTTAGTCACGAATACAAAAGTGGATATATTGTTGAAGTCACAGCTTTCAATTTTATCTTTGAAGGGTTTTATTTTCGCACCCTAGCAAGTCAAGCGCATCAATGAGTCAGCGGAATCGGAGGTGAACCGGGAGAAAATGATTAACAGCTAAAACGTTCCTGGTTGCCCGCAAGACATACACAGTTGTCACGTCCGCGATATTCTCGTCCGAAACAGCTCAATAATGAAGCTTCTCTCGTTGGTTTTGCTTATCGTCGCTTTTAAATGCTCACTCGCAAATTTCGCCTCGAGCAACTCATGTCAGCCGCTGAATCGAACGCTGTTTGGAAGTTGCATTGACGCTGGCTATAATGTGTCTGAATTTAAAACAAGCACACCACAAAGTCAACAACTGGCGATTTTAATTCAGGCAGCGCAGAGCAAGCTTAAAAACTGTTCTTTCTCAAATCAGTTTTCAAATCTTATGACTTGCTCTATCTTCCTACCTGGTAGTAAGTGTCCCTCAGCAAGATTACCGTGTAAAGACGCTTGTAGAAGTTTTGTTAGCGACTGTCAAGACGGTTCAAGCGACATCGAAGGACTATTAACATTGTTCAATGGACTATGTCATCTTCTTCCCACAGACCAGTGTTTATCAACATCCATTGCCCACTCTAATACTACTACTGCAGGTTAGTAAATTGAAAACGTATTTAAAATTTATTAATATATTTTAAATCAAGGTTTACGTGTTATCATGGACACTGAATATGATAATGTCGATAGGGCACCGTTGGCCCTAAATCCTTTTTTTGTGCGCAATATAAAAGTGCACTACATTGACGGACTACTTCCGGGTTGCCAAGTCTAAAGCACGTATAGCCCGTTGTGGTCTGAAATATAATAGCTTTCTGCCATTCTTTTGCAACAAACGTGGGCAGAATTTTTGGAGTGATAAACAATCTCTTTAGTTTATAATGGTGTAATCTTAAATGGTGGTAAAAGAGAGAATATTATATTTGGCAAAGTATATTTCATTTTGATAATTAAGCAGAATATTCTTTTTTTGAGTGTTACTAACCACAAAAACTCAAGCAGAATTTTAAGTGTTTGCTGTCGAGGGGGCGAATATGGGACTTTGGATCTCGCCAACCGGCGTTTCGCTTGACAGACATAGCAACAGCCTATTAAATGCATTCCTAATGAAAATCATGCGAAGCCCACGTGCCTTCTGTACTGTATCTCGGCATAATAGCCGGTTATCGCGTGTAGTGTTTTGTATCAAGGAAAACGTTCGGAGAAAACAGATAAGGCTGTTATTTGCTTTACCTATCAACTTGAATACCGTAGAAAGATAACATGTAAAAATGTTGAGTCAAACAATTAATCGCTCCACCGTTGAGAGCAGCAAAATATCGTATGCATAACTCTAACAAAATTCTCAAATCTGATTGGCTATCAGCTACACTGATTTTGTTCTTAGGAAAGCACGCACCATCGCGTGCAAGTACTTGATTATGGAAAATACAGAAGACTCTGTTTGCGAGATTGGCTACAATTTTCGGAATATTATGTATTTTAATCTTAAAACAGCTCAAAATATCGCTAACTTCGTTATAGTTATGATTAGTTGGTAACAGTCGTGTCGTCTGTCTGTGAGAGAACCAGTGTTTTAAAGACAAATCAGACTCCCCCCTATGCGGGTTTCCGATATTGTTAATCACTTTCTCGTATGATTACAGGCTGAGTCCCATTACCGTCACTATTTATTACTGTCATCGCTACCATCATTTCTTAATTATAATTCATTCAAATATTTCGTAGTTTCTGATTGCCTCAAATCCACAGGATAAATTAAATCTTCATAACCAACCGGCGCTGACCAAATTTGGAGGATGCAAGCAATTTGGTACCATCCAACCGATGGTATATTTGATTGGAAACGAGAATGCATGGGCAATAGACCATTCATTAACCACGTTTCAGGGCGTTCACGGTTATCCGAAGGCGCAAAATAGCTGAATTTCTGTCTAAACTTGAACAGTGCAGAGAATAAATGCAAGAATAGGCAAAACATATGTTATCAACTTTTTGAGAAGTATCCGCAAGGAAAAACATCTGTAAATTCCTGAAACCGAGCCGAGAAATAGGCCACCAGTTAACGAGAAAGTAAGCTTGTTAAGGACGTAGAAGTATTTTGAATGAATAATAAAAACATTATTGAACTCGGCTTTCGTATGATGTGAAGAATTATGCAGAGCGAGGAGGAGGATGTTATCCACCGGGGCTGAAGGCCTCGGGGGAAAACATCCTCCCCGATCTTCACAATAGCCCATTTTACAGTTACAGGTGAAAACGAGGCCAGAGTTGACCTTGTTTTGATACATCCCTTCTTGTTTTATTATGTAAATCATGTTGTTCTTATGCTAACTTGTATTTTTCAAGCATAACTTCCACTACAAAAGGAAGGAGGTTTGTATCAAAACAAGGTTAACCTCAGCCTCACGTTCACTCAAAGGCTAGGTTACTAAGTCCGCAACGGTAAGATGGTCTATTCTTCACATCCTACTTAGCCACCTTCAATATTGCTAATTATCGTTATGATCAACGGAAATAACATTATGATATCAATGAATTGGATATAATTATTTTTTAAACTGAATACCTCACTTATATCTAATCGACTGCTTCTTTTGTGGTTTACTCAGATAACGTCACGTGTCATGAGCTCAATATTAGACAATGTGAAGATGCAGGTTACAGCCACACTTCTGTGTCAAGTGCATATCAGAAGATACTGGAAACTAGTGATGTATTTAACAACAGCAAGGATAACTCCACGCTCAGAAAAATAATATGCATGGAGGTAGCCCCTCCTTGTGATAACAAATCTAACAACACGTTGCTTGTTCCCTGTAAAACTACGTGTGAGGCTGCCTTTAACGAGTCGCAACCGCAGTTCAAAGAAATCTTTAAGAGCAGCGATTACTGTTCTGCATTTCCAAAAACTGACCGCGTTGACGGACAGGATTATTGCGTTCTTCAAGAGTGGCCAAATACAGGTTATTGGCCAAGTGATCTGTGGAAAAGAGTAAGCACAGGTAATTTTACAACTCTAAAAAACAATCTTACTTTTTATATTTTAGTTTGAATATTTTATTGAGGAAAGGGTGTAAGCATTTGTAAGGAGTGAACAGTCAGGGTTTTTCCCCAACTCCCAAAGAAGGATTTTGTAGTTCCAAATGAAATGTTTACCGAAAATGGGAGATTCCTCAAGAGTCTACATTCTTTAAAGTGGACTCACCACATCAAATTTAGTTTCATGGCAGGTACGGCCATCAGTTCAAAAAGCAAATGGCGCTAGAAAGCGGTCTCTCTGTTAAAATATCAGGAAACCCGAATTTTTCGTTTCTTTCGCTGCAACGGATCATAGTGAGACTATGACTCTTGTTCTGGATTCTTCTGAATTTTTCAACGCACCTGACTGTCATGTGACTCCACTGGAACCGACGTCAGCTCGGACGTTTCCAAGTTAATGTTGCTATAGCTTATCAAATTTGGTCGCAGGAATTTTGCTTGTTACACTATCCGTATACCCATAGTTAATTAAAGTGGAGTGGTTGGGAAACCGTTTGTTATATGTTTTTGGTAGGGTAGCTTTTTTGGACCTGACCATGCATAACGTTCAATAGCATTCCTATCATTTTGAACTCACTGGCCAATAGAAACATTGTATTAATTTATTCAGTCACAATTTGTGAACAAAAAACAAAGGATTGAGCACGGTCAGGGAGCTTCCAACATAACCTACAGCCCCGTTGTTTTCAACTTTGATGCCGGGTTTCCTAACCAGTCTCCTCTACTAACTATGATCACCACCTAACGCCCTTGTGCACCTAAGTGAACGGACCTGTATGGCTTCTTTGCAAGCTGACATTTACGTAGCTTTTTTTTTTACATTTCGCCCCACGTAAGGGCAAGAGAGTCTTGAATCCTAGATTCCACTCTGTGCATTCTGGAATCCTGGTCAGTGGAACTCCGGATTCCAAAGCCCAGAATTCTGGATTCCTCCTGCAAAAGTTTTCCTGATTCCGTAATCCGGATTGCCTTACATAGGGCGACACACTCGCAACACTCTCAATTAATACCAGTCATTTATTTTGTACTGAACATTATTTTTTACCTTCATTTTCAAAATGCCATTTAGAGCTATTTAGTCAACCAACATTAGTTCTGTAGCGACTATAGACAACTGAAATTGTGCAATTGACCAATATATAATTATAAACCTTTTTCTTGTTTTAATTTCGCTATCTTTTTCACGTCACTCATCATGTCTATTCTAGCCAAATCCGCCCCCAGGACTTTTCCGGAAAAGCCCCGGGGAAGAGGTCATTTTAGCTGTCCAAACTAATATATGTTTTCTCTTCCAAAGCACATGGACTTGCTAATTCACCTTCACCACCAACAATAAAGCTATCTGAAAATAACGGCACGTCCTTGTCAACGAATCGATCATCTGAAAATTTTACCTCTACTGTACCAACAACGAAAGCGTCTACAAATGTTAGTACACCTGCATCAACGACTCAAGCATCGGTCAGTGGTACTACTGCCGTGACAACGGCTAAACCATCCCAAAGTCTTGCGCCAACGACTCACACATCCAAACCAGCTGATAATACGACTATGACAACCACTCAAACAGCCAAACCAGTTACTACGTCTATGCCAACCACTCAAGCATCCAAACCAGTTAATACGTCTATGCCAACCACTCAAACAGCCAAACCAGCTAATACGTCTATGCCAACGACTCAAGCATCCAAACCAGTTAATACGTCTATGCCAACCACTCAAACAACCAAACCAGTTAATACGTCTATGCCAACGACTCAAGCATCCAAACCAGTTAATACGTCTATGCCAACCACTCAAACAACCAAACCAGTTAATACGTCTATGCCAACCACTCAAACAACCAAACCAGCTAATACGTCTATGCCAACGACTCAAGCATCCAAACCAGTTAATACGTCTATGCCAACGACTCAAACATCCAAACCAGTTAGTACGACTATGCCAACCACTCAAACAGCCAAACCAGCTAATACGTCTATGCCAACCACTCAAGCATCTAAACAAAGCAAGAGCAAGAGCACTGGAAAATCAGCTGAGAAACCTACGAGTAGCCACTCTGGTAGCAAAGGTAAAAACAAAAACAGTGAAATGTCTTCTAACGTTAAAAACCATAGCTTTCTGATTAACAAAAGGAAAAGACGCGCTCCCGAGTTGTTGCTTTGTGCGAATTTAATCACACAAAAATATGCTTTCGGAGTTCGGTTCAGGCCCCTAAGATAAGGTGTAAGGGTACAGTAAAGAGTCATTCTACACTTAAATTAAACACATCTTCTACAATGATCGGTAATTTCAAATAATTTTAAAGAATTTCCTTATCCAGCGCACGGGAACAATATGCATAATCCTTCTGTGGTGCAGAAGTGGCTAGAGCACAAGGACTACAGTCCCCCAAAAATGTCCTTGATATTAAGTGGATTACGGGCTTGACTAACCTGACTATATTTTCGAATGGAATGTTTAATTATCAAACTCTACATTGCAATAACACATTGCCATGTTGAAGCTGCGGGGGCTAAAGCGGTATCTTCCCCCTCCCCCTACCCCGGCAACGACACTTTACGTTTTAGCCTTTGAAGCTAAGGACATTGTTTGGACCATTTATCTCTTTTTTTTTTAACAACTCGTTCTGCGAGCTCCATGGTGCCCACTTTCGAAGGCTACATCGTTAATTTTTTGTCTAAAGTCCCCGTACGGCGTTTTCTCCGGCCCTATCGGTCAATACACTTCGGTGACGTATCCGAGACGAACGGACGGGAAACGGCCCCACTTCTTCGCTCGGACCACATGACCCGAAACGCATTGGCCGCGTAAAATAATGAGGCCTAGGGAGAGAGGGTTGTGACCCTACTAACTTGAGAAGCGACACGGGATAAAAATGTTTCTTAATTGGCGTCAGATTATGGTCTGATCATGCGCAAAAGCGAAAATCTTGTTTTGTTGCAGACAATACTCGGCTCATGCGCAGTTTAGCCCCTTGGCTAGCTGCAGACTGTCAACAACTTTTACAACTGCAATGAAAAGACAAGCACATTTTTAAAAAGAAAGACAGAGGTTTGATTCCTGGGTGTTAAAACGGGTAACATCGCTTTTCATCTCGTTTTGCAGCAATCACTGTGTTGCAAAACAAGTTACCTGTTTTTGTTGACAAGTCGGTTTACCGTAGCTTTTGAGAAAAATGAAGGTCTGAATAGTCTAGACGATATTATTTTAAGACCTATAGTAATCTATTTAGGCTGCCCTGCCTCCAGAAATTCGGAATTTTTTTCTTGTCAGTAATCTGATAAATAAATAAATAAATAAATAAAGAGAAGCAATTATCAAACTTCGTTTGATAATTGTTTCTCACAACTATATACGACAGGCGACGACAATTGTTAATGATCTATTATATTTCACTTTGCAGAAACTCCCAAAGTCCAAGCACATAAAAGCGGGAAGCTCTCGGCCGGGATTATCGCTGGTATTGTGGTGGGTGTGATAGCCGGCCTGGTTCTTTTTGTTGTGGGGGTCATATTTTTCAGAAGATACAAACGGTTAAGAGCTCAATACACCCACAGCCTTATGGTGAATATGGACGAGCTGTAACTTACTGAACTTACTGCATGATCGCACGCTCGATACTGAAGAACTTTTTATTGGTCGTTTGCCAGCCCGGCTAACAGAGAGACGTTTGAGACTAGAAAGGAATCTACGAAGGGGGGTGAAAACAAAAAAATTGATTCATAATTGGTGCTCTTTAGAAGTGCCGTTTCTTTTAACCCTTTAAGCCCTAATATCCACATATAAATTCTCCAAACTGATCTTCATACATTTCCTTTAAGAACTAACTGAGAGTCTGATAACAGATCAGAGCATTTTCTCTTAGGTGATCATTTTATTAACTCTCATAACTATTCCTCTTGGCAACATATGGATATTGTTAGGAGAAAATTGTTGTTGGTCACCATTGGGACTTAAAGGGTTAAGTATTTTACAGTACCAAGAGAGAATGAGCTAAACATTGATGAGCTCACTCGCTCTTGATTGTACTAAATAACTGTAAGTTGGAGCATGTTTATGAAGAGAACACTTTTCTCAATGTTATATGTTGTTGTAGTTTAAACGTTAGTAAGGAGGGTAATTCAGGGAAATTTAAGAACATTTTTTGCAGTAGTTTCGAGATAATGATGCCTGATCAGCCCATAAGCACAATTTGTATTCTCGGTCAGAGATTGTGATCACATTTTTGGATAACTAATTTTAATTCTTGAAAGTTGGTTAACAAGAACCAGAAACTTTAAAGTTATAATAAAGCAATTATACAAAGATGGTCGAGTTAACACTATCTACCTCATCTTGTGGTAAGGAAATAAATAGCATTAACTCCCATTATAGTTCCCAGGGCCGAGCGGGATCAGGGCTTGGGGTAGTAGTGGTCATTGGGTAGTTATCCGTTCCCCCTTCAAAGCCCGGGAAAAGTTTTCAAAAAAAAATAATAATTGGAGAAAATAACTGTTATCACTTCACGTGTGTTTGCCAGAAACGCTGTTCACCCAGCTAAAAGGTACTCATAGTCTGGGCGTCCCATACGAACGAGTTACACTAACAACCTCCATAACAGGAGGTAGCGTGGCCGAGTGGTTAGAACGCAGGACTTGCAATAGTCCATTTTCGAGTTCGCTATGACCGCTGAATTAAAAAAGTGAAGACGCATTTTTCACAGCCTTAGCCTCCATCTGAAGTAATATATTTACAAATTCCAACGACAAAAAGACCTGTTTATTACTCTGTCTATTGTGTATATTCAAATTTCAAACACTTACTTGCCAGAATTTCTGACTATTTTACTTTAAGTCGAGGCTAACCCTGTATGATTGTGTCCTTAATGTTTGTATTCAGCGGTAATTTTTAATTCGAAACTGGACTATTCGGAGGTCCGGAGTTCAAGTCCCGCTCTGACCTCTACTGAGCTGGATTTGCTCACAGTAGTCCCGAGTTCTAATCCTCGACCACGCTTGTAACTGGTTTGCCTCCGCCAAGTTGGGTAGCCTGCGTAGCAGGCGCTTGGAAATAGNCCATCTGAAGTAATATATTTACAAATTCCAACGACAAAAAGACCTGTTTATTACTCTGTCTATTGTGTATATTCAAATTTCAAACACTTACTTGCCAGAATTTCTGACTATTTTACTTTAAGTCGAGGCTAACCCTGTATGATTGTGTCCTTAATGTTTGTATTCAGCGGTAATTTTTAATTCGAAACTGGACTATTCGGAGGTCCGGAGTTCAAGTCCCGCTCTGACCTCTACTGAGCTGGATTTGCTCACAGTAGTCCCGAGTTCTAATCCTCGACCACGCTTGTAACTGGTTTGCCTCCGCCAAGTTGGGTAGCCTGCGTAGCAGGCGCTTGGAAATAGTGGGCGCAAGAAAGAATGGCCGCGCGAGAGAGAGACACGCGAGGGGAGAGCGAACTTGCTCCATCTCTTCTAACCTGTCTCCCCCTCGCGCGCCCGTTCTTTCTCGCGCCCACTACTTCCAAGCGTCTGCTACGCAGGCTACCAGTTGGGATTCTTAACCCTGTTAAGTTCAATTTGAATTATTTGTTTCAGGCATTTGCTCGGCCTCACTAGCATTAGTGCTACAAATACTGCCGAGCCTTAACTTTTTAGCGCGGCCCGAAGCTAAGAATATTTGGTCAGTCTATCCAAGAAATTTTGGTTATAACGTGACCGTACCAGTAAACTGATCCTTACGGCTGGAAGAGTGATAGGATAAATAATGAACGAAAACAAAAACAAAATGATGAATTGCATTTGCCCGATATTTAAAATTGCAACACAAACCTTAAACAGGGGGCTATAAAAGCAAATGTAAATGAGTATAGATACAAGATGAACGTTACAGTGCGAGATTTGAATACACAGCAAACAGAAAATGATAGGCTACTTAAAAGATAAATGTCTCTAATTGAGATCATCACTTGGTATAAGTAGACGCGATGAACTCAATTAGTGATCAGTATCACATGACCGTATCGCGGGCTCAGGTGTCGACCATCGAAGTTACGTGTTCTTTTTTAAGTTTACCGCTGACAAGTTTCAGTTTTCAACTGATCGCAGGCTCAACTCTAATTCGATTTCTTTATTGCAATGGTTTTTTGTTAGCCAACGTAGATAGAAGGCGCCGGTTTTTTACTGCGGAGGAATAAATCTCTTGCGACTTAAAAAAATGACCGGCGCCTGCTACGCAGGCTATTTTTTCATTAACGGGAGCTTTGCCTTTAGCCTCGGCTAAATCTATCTATGAGGCTTTTCCTTAGAAACTGTTTACTGAATTGCATACATAACTACGATGATTTTCCACCTGTTCAAGCTTTCCATTTTTTTACGAGCTTAATCCCAAGGGGCTACTCCAGATTTCAAGAGAAGGGGATGATCCAATATGGGCAAAAATCAAAACTCAAAAAAGTCCCCTGGGCTTCCAAACAATTCCTTGGACCAAAAAATTAACCCCTGAAAAATCCAACAGCCGCAAAATAAGTTTAGCTGTACTTTATTCGTAGAACTACGCGGCCGGGATACGCGGTTACTACCATGAATCTTCAGATTGTTTTGAATACCCAAAATTCCCTATTTAGATCAGGCCATCCAAATCCCAGAATCAAAAATATCAACTCTTATGATCCTTGTGTATTAGCCTGGACCTGACGGCCGGTCAGACAACAAAGATCTTAATTACGCACACATTTTCTTGGCTCTACAGCTCAAAGCCTGATTCATCGGGCTGTTTTTGGTACCCCGCAAAAGGTGATGTACCACGCCACTTAAGCTTCCACCAGATCAAACCTGACAACAGGAGACCCACCACAACTAAGGTCACTATGACTGCTACAGCAATGGCCCACCCTTTGGGTCTGTGTTGATGTAGTTCCTCGGATGGTGGTGATGGTGGTGTCGGGTAGGCTGTGAAAAGAAAATCCAGTCACGATAGCCTTGTTATAGGTTATAAGGCTTGACTGGCTGTTGTTAAAGTAGCGTGACAGCGTCACAAGAGTCGCATTTTTTACCATAGGCAGGGTCCCACTCTTCATTATCGATGGAGGTAAGCATGTTTTAGCTATGTTTTTAAACTAGGAATTATTTTGAATGAATTATAAAACAATTATTGAATTCGACTTTCGTATCATATGAAGAATTATGGAGATCTCGGAGGGTGTTATTCTCCTCGGCCTAAGACCTCGACGGATAACACCCTCCTCGATCTCCATAATTCTTCATGAGATACTCAGCCTCATTCATTAATTGTTAAATATTTCATTTCAATATAACCGGTCTAGCCGGTTAGTTTTGACTTTTGGAAAGCGCCCAAGGAAAGCTGCAAAGATGACCTAACAACCAGTTTTCAATCTATTTTATGCTTCACTTTCCATCGCTTAAATTTAAATTTCTCGGAACCATGTAGCCTGCCTTGTAGGCCTTTGAAATTGAAAGAAAAGGGAAGAATACAAACAGGAGCACAAACAGAGCCCGGCCTATCGCCTTCTATAGCGCTACTTTATAATTCTGTCATTTTTTCCCGTGTTCAAACGCCTGTCACGCGCGCAGGCTAAATGTATCAAGAGCTACTGACCCTCAAAGGCAGCTGTGGTAGGAGTGGTATCCCCATCAACTGCAGCTGTGGTAAGAGTGGCAACTCCTGTCGGCCACTGCATAAGTGGTCCTTTTGTTGATGGCGTTGATGATGGTGTCGGGCGAACTGTGTGAGAACCTGCGCGTCCTACAACCAACGGATAAAAGCAAAAGAATTTTTCGCGCGACTGTCTGCGTGTTAAAAACAGAGTTCTGTTTGGGTAGCTTCTGTCGTTTACGGGTTGAAACGACTGATGCATCAACTGTAAGATTTGATAAATTGTGCTGGTAAAAACGGGCTTGATGTGCTACTAGAAGTTAACATATTTTGTAAATCATGCAAAATGGTAGTACATGAAACATCCCTGTGGTCCATCAAGACATTTATTCCGGTCTGTAGAACCAGAAACTGTAATTTCGCATGCTTCACTTGTTACTCAGCCAAAAAAGCAAACATAAAATAACGAAATACTTGTAACACGTACTGATCTCGTGGCAAAAAGAATCGGTTCAATGATCAATGAATGACCTATTTTCGGAAAACAAACTAAAATGTTAATAAAATAATTATGCCAGTAAAAAATGCTCGTAATGACCGTAATGACGAATAATGCCAAAACGTTTGCTGTCACAGTCTATCAAATCCCATGCAATCAGCACAACTCAATGTAAAGAGCAAATTTAACAGTGCTTGGCTGTCAAAAGGCGTTATAGTCTTCAAATGCCCACATTTAGCTAAAACGGAGACAGTACCTTACTATAATGACATTCAATTTATCTATGGACTATGATAAATGATTTTAGCTGTTGGGAAAATGGCAAGATAAACCCTACATATATTTCAGTCTTCAACTTCTGTTTAGGTGTTCATCCGCAAACGCTCAGCGAATCAAGGACTACCGAAAAAACATTTCATAATCTTCAAGATTAAATCCAAAGAAGATTCCTTTTTTCAGTGAACCCCCAAAAAACAGGCTCCTGCCAGTTTACTGCACTTTAATTGACTATTTTTGTAAAAATGGCACATTCCGGCAAGCCATTTTATCAACGTTTTAATTCCGACAAGGCTTCAGTACTTTAAGTGACCCTTATATCCAAATATACCTTTAATTAGTTAAGAACTCATATCAATTTTGATCAAAGTACACGAAAATCCTTTTTCCGCGTTGGAATAGAGATTCCGAAGGGGTGCCGTCTAGGCATTAGCAAAATTACAGGCTTGGACTCCCGGGACCTATGATGTGTCTGTCTATCCGGCTATGAGTACTTCAAACAAATAAACAAACAAATAAACTACTGACCTCTGAAAAAATTAACCCAATAATATGGAGAAGGCCATTCTTTTAAATCACAAAACAATTCACCTTCGGCTCCCTCTGGAAATGAACCACAATATACTGTATCGTTGTAGGAAAGTTCCCTACACAGGAGAAAAAGGTGAGAATCAGTTATACTAGTCTGCTACACAACCGTTTTTAGTGTCGTCACACAACGCTCCTCCACACTAGTGGCAAGGAGCGTTGCGTGACGACACTAAAAACGGCTGTGTAGCAGACTACTGTTATACAAGCGACTCGGAAAAAAAAAATCCGAGTACTCCCAATAGGAGAGGAACCTATGGCCTTCTGGTCATTAGTCCAAATGCTCTATCACTAAGCTACCAAAGACTCGAGGGAGCTAGCGGCCACTAAACTATGTTCATGTGACGAACATCCTTCATACTGCTAGGACTTGAATGTCCGTCGATATGTAGAAAAGGTGTATATAGGTCATAGGACAGACACAGCGGTTTCATTATGACTGTGAACAAGATTAAACAACATTTTGACAATTTGGAATATGCCTTTCTCCAGTACAAGTTGTGTA